ATATAATTTTTTATATTTTTTTACTAGTGGGTGCAGGACACTATAGTTCATTTATGTAAAGTGAGGATAGCAAAATAAAGTAAACTGTGACAAATCATACCCAAAAATTCTTCATACAGTGGACTACCAGTAAAATTGATACAAATTTGGGACCAAAAATTATTCAGATCGAGTCTGGGAAACAAACTGAAGTTCAGGTTTGCATGAAGCTGGGTAACAGCATGTCCAGGAGACTACAGGCTGTCATTAAGGCTAAGGGTCACCCGACAAAGTATTGATAGTTGTGTAAATACTGTCAAACTAACAGCTGTCTAATTTTTGGTTGATTGTAATCTATCTATCAAAGTTATCTGACATTATCAAGCTGAATTTGTTCTGATACAGTTTAACTCTGAGTTCTTGTCATATTGTATTACCATTTTCTAAACTATAGCGAATAAACTGTGATAATGTGAGAAATGTTGAAGGTGTCTGAATAAATTTTGGTTTGACTACCTATTTGATAAATGAAGTTAACCAACTAGCATTATACATACTCTTTTGGTTTCTGTACCCAATATTTAAAAAATTTATAAATGCAATAAAAATATTGGTATCGGTACTCGGTATCGGCAAGTACCAAAAATAAAAGTATCGGTATCGGGCGAGTACTGGAAAAAGTGGTATCGGTGCATCCCTAATTTAAATACATAGCATTGTAAATGTATTGTTTTTGCAAATGTATATGTATTCCACATTTAAATAAAAAATTTAATAAATTAAAACGTAGTATTTAAATTATATTTAAATGTATAAATATAATTATTTTATATTTAGAAATATTTAGTATTTACTTTAAATACTTTTGTAGCCAAAAGAGAAAATAGGCAGAAAATATGAGCAGAAATGCAACTTATCTATGTTGTGTACATTACATTTTTTTTATAGAATTTTATAGAATTGTAAATTTATTGTATTTGCAAATATATACTTATAGTACATTTAAATAAAATATTTGTATATATTTTTTCTATATATAATACATTTTAAATATAGCTAGTAGTTAAATTATTAAATTATATTTACATTTATAAATAGAATAATTTAGTCATTTCTATTGCTGTATACTTGTAGTGATTCTTACTGCTGGATGTTCCAGGGGTGCTGAACTGTGAGGGTTCTGTGAGCTTGCGTGGAGTGGACAAACCGACATCCAAAACAGATGTATCCTTTGAAGCAGACCTGAAAAAAACAAAAACAAAGTTACTGTTACTACAGTCTTCAAAATAGTAACCATTATTATAGTGACAGCAGCTATTGTTTAAACATTCATAAAAAGAGCAGCCATGAATGTTTTATGAAAATAACAGAGAAGCTTCCGCAAAAACCATTGCCATTAAAGTGGTCAGAACACGAAGAATCAAACAAGGCAGATTGCAAAACGCACGAGAGAGAGAGAGGAAATGAATAAAAATCCTGCCAGAAAATTGCAGTCGCGTCGTGACCCTGACTAATAAATCACTTCTCCTCATGAAAGCGTCGCGCTATAATTACATGGCCGTAAACAGAGCAGCGGAAGAGCGACAAACACGCACGCACAATTCCGAGATCAAAAACACTATTACAAACAACTCCACACTTCAGCCCTGCGGGGTCACCAACCTGCATTAGCTTAATGCGCTACACCGCTGCGCCTTGTCTAATCTATGAGAATTAGCATTGCAGAGGCATCGGCGGTGGCGGTTCGCACAGCACGCTGACGGAGGGGGTCAGCAATCCCCCGGCGACAGTGCGCGTGGGCGGCTGTCACCATCGAGAAAAGCAAAAACCTATTATCATTCCTCTCGTGCTCATCCACGAGGGTGCGAATGACTTATCTCTGTCTGTGCTGAAAGCCGGCATCAGAGCCACGGTGGCCAGGCCCCATACACAGGGACAGGAAGAGAACAGTCGTTAATCAGCTAATTACATGACTCTGGTGATAAGAATGCAACAGGGCCAGAGAGGCTTTGTTTACCAACAAGCTAATGATTTAAGACCCTGGTGAACAAAGCATTCAATAAAGAATTAACATTGCGATTTCCCTTCAAGATAGCGTAATCATCCCCGTCTTTAATTACGTGAAGCAGATCTATGCTGAGATCCAGAAAAAGACTTTAGTGAAGACAAGTAACACATTTTCTACGTGTCACCACTTTGACTAATTAAAGTTTATTCAGAATGTCAAACTAGCTGGGGTTCAAGCCAGCTTTGCCCCATATTCAGGCTTGGATTCTTAATTAGTCTGATCAGTTATTCTGTCTGGCATATTCCACATCCTTATTAATGATCAGACAGCAATGACTCATGGGATGTTTGGTTTAAGAAAGCACGTCTCTCTTTTTAAAAAGTACATACACTGTAATTAGATGAGCTGTGTGCCCTGCCACCATTAACCTGCGAAGGTAAATTAATCTAAAGCAGAGAAATGACTTTCCAGTTCTGAAGGTAACTGCTTTCAGTTTACCGCCACAACCTGAATCAAACGTTCTGAGAAAGATATTTTATATTATTCACGTTTTGTAATATTATTGACCTACTTTGGGTCCAAATACTAAGCCTACATATCTTTGATTTGAACTGATCTGAAAGCAAGCAATAGCTGCAGCTGCATGCACTTCTCAATCAAATAATATTTTATCAAAAGCATGCCATAGTAGCTCACCGGCCCTTGTCCTTGTCTTTTCCTCGGTGACCCACGCGGCTGGTTGATTTGATGTAGAGGTGTCGATGGAGCTCGTCAATTAGCACCAGGTGGATGTTGAGCTTCTTACTGTGGAGCTCCAGTCGCAAGTCGCCGAGACCCTCCACCTGTAGCAGGGGTCCTTCAAGAGAATCCACTGCTGAAACCTGCAAACACAACACCACAGCTGAAGTTTCCATCTGCCTGTGTCTACGTGCAAAAATGTTAGTTGAATGTCAAATTTAGTGACCCCAAAAATATTTGGAGACTTGAGTCTCACTTAAAAGTGTATTAATTTTATTGCATTAAATAAAAAAAAGATAAAAACTAAATAAAATAGTTAGCCATTTTTGCCCCGATGCAATTGTAGCAGATGTTTGAGGTCAGCCACCTTCAGCAGTTCATAATAAAGTTAATTTACAACCATAAAGAGTCTAAATATTTTTAAATGTTAATTCTGAACATAATAATTTATTGTTTTAATTTAGAACCAAACAAGCTCCTTTTTGTGAAATGTTATGCTTGAAAACAGTGCTTTTTATTAACTTTTTTTTTTAATCGGTAGAACTTGGTTTGATATTTTGTTATCTTATGCTGTGACTTCATACATTTCTAAATGTGGTGAAGTATCTGAATATTTATTAAGACCACTGTATGTTGGTTATAAAATATGGCTGTTCATCTATACTTCAGGTCCTTAGTATCTACTGTTTTGCATGTTCATTCGAAACTCAAATCCCAATGTAGCTTGTCCATTGCTAGTAGCTGAATAACTGAAGTGTTCCAGGTGTTCCAGGCGTATCCATTGATGTAAAACCACCTAGATTAGCTGCGCTCCAGGATCACATAATAGCACAGAACCCACCCACCCATCAAAAACCACAACGATAAAGCACAATAACAACTCTCGTCCAATCAAGGTATTAAAAGAGGGAGAATGCAGTGTGGTGGAGCGCAGTGGCGCTGAATATTTACTCTGCTGAATGCGTGTGGCTCTCCTGCAGAGAGCATAACGAAGTATGCGGCTGCTGGGTGAATGAAGTGTGAGACAGAGCTTATCAGTGAACACAAAGTGAGAAAATTATGCAAAAACCCAGAAAACTAAATGAATATATAAGCTTTCTCTTTCTGTCGCACACAGAGATTTACTAGATTTACTACTTTTTTTGTTCAAAAATCTCTAAATAATATGAAATAAGTAAAATTCCTAATAATAAATAAAATTCCTAAGAATTACTAAAATTCCTAAAAAAATTAAATCCCTAATAAATAATTAAATAAATAAAATAATGGTAAATTAAATCTCTAATAAATAAAATACCTAATAAAATTAATCATTAAATAAATAAATAAATCCCTAATAAATAATAAATTCCTAATAAATAAATACATATATACATGAATACACACACATTATATATATTCCACATCATAGAAAATGTTGTAAGCTGTGGATACAGAACGTAATTTTAAAAAGTATATTGCTTTTTTGCTCCGTTTTGTGTATCTGTTTTTCATCTCCTCCTCCCTCTCTCATACACATGTGCAAGGGGATTTTGAAGCAGAAAAATGAAGAACAAATGCAACTTAACATGGAGAACGAGTTCAGGTAGTCCCCTAAGGCTTAGCTTTAATGCTGTCCTGGATCTGCACCATATCAGCAGCTACTTGCCATGCTGCCGCATTTGCAAACCGAATCTGAAGCAGTTGTGTGGTTGATAAGTTCAATTTCCTCATTTCATTCACCTGACCTGGCTCACATATCCCAGAGCCTTGATCTTCTATGCAACCTTTCCCTTCTTCCTTCCATCCTTCTTTTAATCTCGTACACTCTCTCTCTCTTGCTCTTTTTTTATTGCATTAACTTGTATTTCTAGTCTTTACTTCTCTTTGCCTTTACCTCTCCTCTCCCTCAGCACTGAACTACCCTGCAGTGGCTACTGCTTGTTTTTATTTAGTGAATAAATCATAAAATGGCTCTGAATGAATGTGCTTTATTAGAGGGCAGCTAATGGCCTGTTAATAGTGCTCTGGAGGGCCATCACTGCATCGCTTTTGACAGACAGAGGAGGGGTCACACAAGTCAAGGAGTTGTTCATGCAAATGAGGGTTGTATGAGCCACAGCGTATACCTGCAGGATCAGCTGAGCATGTGTAAGTATGCATGTTTGCATGTCTTATTGCCAAACCTGGTTTAGTTGAGAAGACACTTCAATTTGCAACTGAGATACTTGTTTTTATAGATTTGAGAGGAGAGAGGAGAGAGGGAACAAGAGGCAAAGAGATAGAATAGGAAAGGATAGTAAAGGAGGATAAGAGAAAGAAGAATAGTTAAAGACAGGAAGAGGACAAGGAAACGAAAGGGAAGAAGGAGAGAAAAGGGAACAGTTTAGGACATGAGAGGAAGAGAAAGAGGAAAGGAGTAGAGAAGAGGAAAAAGAAAGTAACATGGAGCAAGAGGAACAGTTAAGGATATGAAAGGAATAGAAAGAGGAAAGGAGATGAAAGAAATATGGAGAGGGAGTGGAAAGGTTAAGTGCAGGAAAGAAGAGGAGGATGAGGAAAAATAAAAAAAGAAAATAGAGAGGAAGAGGAAAAGTAAAGGACAGAAAAGGGCAGCAAAGGACAGAAAAGGAAATGAAGAAGAAGGGTTAAAGAAAGAAAAAGGAGAACAAAAGAAAACATAAGAGAAAAAAGAAAAGGAAAGAAAAAGGGAGAGGAAGAAGAGGAGGAAAGGAAAATAAATGAGAGGAATGTGGAGATGAATGGTTATGGACAGCAAAAGAAAAAGGAAAGGAAAGGAAAAATGTAGAGGAAACAGAAAGTGTAGGAAAGCGCAGAACAGGACAGGAAAGGAAGAGGAAAAGAAAGAAAAGCATAAATGAAAGAAAAGCAGAGAGGAAAAGGAAAAAAAGAGGAAGATGGAAAATGGAGACTAGGAAAGGAAGACAGAGAAAGAGGAAGAAGGAAAGGAAAGGAAAGGAAAGGAAAGGAAAGGAAAGGAAAGGAAAGGAAAGGAAAGGAAAGGAAAGGAAAGGAAAGGAAAGGAAAGGAAAGGAAAGGAAAGGAAAGGAAAGGAAAGGAAAGGAAAGGAAAGAAAAGGAAAGGAAAGGAAAGGAAAGGAAAGGAAAGGAAAGGAAAGGAAAGGAAAGGAAAGGGCTTAAGCAAATCAAGAGCGGAAAGTGCCGATTCAACAGATGTGAGGTAATGAATGACAGCTCATCTGAAAAGCACACACTGCACTCTTAAAAATAAAGGTGCTTCAAAAGGTTCTTCAAGCGAAGCCATAGAAGAACCATTTTTGGTTCCACAAAGAACCATTCAGTCAAAGGTTCTTTAAAGAACCATCTCTTTCTTACCTTTTTGTAATCTGAAGAACCTTCTTTCGCCACAAAGAACCTTTTGTGAAACAGAAAGGTTCTTCAGGTGTTAAAGGTTCTTTATGGAACCTTTTAGACAAAAAGGTTCTTCTATGGCATCGTGAAGCACCTTTATTTTTAAGAGTGTGGGGAGGTTAACCAGACTGACAGGTACGAGAGTTACAAATGTGTACGTGTGCGTGTTCATGTAAGTATCAGACAAAAGTGAGGGAGTGTTTTCAGATGAGAGTTGCAAATTGAAACACCGTGTACAGCGTAATCTCTGTTGGCAATCCCAATACTTCTCGTCAGATTTAACACAGTCACACACACAGGAGGAGAACGCCACCTGAGGGACCTGAGAGAGCGGGAGGAAGGAAGCTTGTCATCTCTGAGCACAGCTGATTTCCCCTGTTGAGAGGGAGATGTGGGTGTACCCAAAGAAATAATGTGTTCAAATACCTGATGAAAAAGATCCTAAAAAAAACAAAAATTCAGCTCCTTCTTATTTTTGATGATGTTTTTAGACTCATGAGCTTTGGTTAATGCAGTGGGAAAGAATCACCTGACCAGAGTTGCATAATTGAATAAGTCACTGTTTAAGTTAGCACACATGCTCCTGACACACACCACGCAGGTGACACAGATAAAAAACTTCATGTCACTCTCCACCCTATTGTTCAATAGTTTGGGGTCTGTAAGGTTTTTTAATTCTTTTTTTGAAAAAAGATTCTTTTTGGAAATACTCTTTAAAAAAATTTTTAAATGTAAAATAAGTGCTTTCTATTTTAATATATTTAGAAATTTGATTTATTCCAGTTAGTTTATTCCAGGCAAAGCTGAATTTACAGCAGCCATTACTCATTACTCCAGTCTTCAGCGTCACATGATCCTGCAGAAATCATTCGAATATGCTGATTTGCTGCTCAAGAAACAATTCTAATTACTGTTGAAAACAGTTGTGAAAAATGTTGATTTTTTTTAATATTTGTTCATAGGTATGTAGGCATTTATTATGATTGCTTTGTTTTTTTCACTTAATTCTGTAACAATTTGATACTTGTATTGTGCCTTGAGATGCTTATGTGCTTTTCTTTATTTCAAAAAAATGTTTTTTTTTTTTTTAGGATTCTTTGATGAATATAAGGTTCAAAAGAACCTTTTCAAGGTCTTTTTTCAAAAGAAAAATGAAAAAAAAAATGTTTACAATGTAAAAGTCTTTACTGTCACTTAATGCATCGTTAGCTAAATAAAAGTATTATTTTATTCAAAAAAATGTCTTTAAAAAAAATCTTTCTGAACCTAAACTTTTAAACAATAGTGTAAATATTTACAATACCAGTCAAATTACAACTAAATTTACGTTTTCATAATCTAAAAGATCTTTACGTCTAAAGGATTATGCTTGACATTTCTTTAAAATATCATGTAATATTTGGAATTTTTGCTATATGTTAAATGCAAAAAATATATATTTGCAAAAGTATATGTTGTAAAAATGTTATATAGTATTTTAAAAGTTTTGCCCATGTATGGATTTCATTGCTTACAACAAAACCTATGTATTTATTTTTTAAACAAAGCATCCCAAGAAGCACACAATGAAATTGGTTGTAAGAATTTAATCAGTGTCCAAAGCTCAAATTAAAAAGCTATATTTAATTTAATATTTTTATGTATGAGAGGACAAGCAGGTTGCATGTACTTACCATGGAATGAATACAATTTCTCCTATCAACACATTCAAACACACACTCACCAGCATATCTGTGGCGTGCAGGTAGTGCTTGCTGGCCATGGATGCCTCCAACTTCTGAGGGACCTGTTTGATGTTCTCGATCTCGTCCAGCAAGCTGAGGACATGCTTGTGCTCGACACCCTCGATCCACAGCTTCCTCAGTTCATCTCGCTTACAGTGGAGGAGCATCTTACAGGACAACAGGTTCTCCTTGACCTGAGCAGAGAGCAGCCCACACACACCATGTCAGGAGAAGGTGAAAGTTCACACTTGATTAAACATGCATCAGCTTCACAGTTTTCCTTCCACAGCTCTGCTCGGTTCTTTGCATAATTATTTTCAAGTGTGTCAGCAGCAGGGGAGAAGATGATAAACAAACACTTTGCCGTAGATTAAAACCTGAGCTTAGTGGCTAATTTACAAGGATATTATTTCAGACATCGAAGACAATTACTAGTGATTCCTAATGATTCTTTTATGATGGCTCACCATGTTTTGCAACCGTTTTGAGTGGATGGGGGGGTAATAATTAGTTCATTTTTAATGTTCTTAAAAGAGCTTACAAAACACGCACAAATGTGAACAAATCCCAAAGATGGATAAACAAACAGCAAAATTAATGAACACTGTTGTGTTTCATAGGCTGCACTGGGTTTATGTCTTCCATTTTCTCACTTACGCTCACACACATGCAAATAGAGACACACAGGGAAACGTTTTTTTTTTTTTGAGTCCTTGACTCAAACACATCTTTCAAGAGTGCAATAAACAAACTCGTTCACCTGTGTCTTTAAATAATAATGAGTAAAGATGGTGATTTGGGGTCCCTGGGCACCTCTCATCAAATACTTCCGCAGCATGAAGACAGAAATGCTATTCTCTATGTTCTCTAAGGCAAGTTTGAGTGTGTGTGTGTGGGAATCCTGACACCTCCATTATTACAGAAGCCTGAGGGACGACCCATCAGACCGCATGGCTGAGAGCAACGTTTACACACAAAAACACCAAAAAAAGTAGCTGTTGGTTTGTTTTTAATTTCCCTTTTTGCGTCAAACTGCTACCGCATGTTGTTTTCCTCTAATTATCACTCATAAATCATTCCCTGGGTATTACAGCCAGTATTATATCAGGCTGCATGCAGCTTGTGTGTGTTTACGTATTGGTAGGTTATCACAGAACTATGTGGGCTACAAAGTAAAGCAGCAATTGCATTTCATCTCCACCAGCTGCTAACCAGAAAGAAAAAAAAAAGAATTCCTATGTGATGAAGTTATTTCAATCAGCCATAAACAAACAGACTGACAGCATGAAGATGTATTTCTATGCGATTCTATTAGTATTTTATTAAAGTACATTAAGTCATTGTGCATCTGCCTTAAATCAGGGTTTTTAACAATGTAACCTGAAGGTTCTCTGGGGGTCAGTGAAGAAGAAACAGATACATATTTGTAATCGATACTTTTATTCAGCAACATGTCAACATATTCTGTTACACCAAATACACAAAATAATGATCTTTAAAATAGCATCATATGACCCCTTTAAATTAAAAAGCATCAGTAAAGACATTTATAATGTTACCAAGGATTTCTATTTCAATTAAATTGTCTTTTGAACTTTTGAATTCTTTATTAAAGTAAAAAATGCATCACAGTAGCCACAAAAATATTGAGCAGCACAACTGTTTTCAAAATTGATAACAATAATAAAAGTTATATGATGCTATTTAATGTTCTTATTGTAATATATTATAAAATGTTACAAAGAAAACCTAGCTTTATTATACAGGGGAACCTGTTATGATTATGATTTTTTGGGGATTAAAGATTTAATTGTATGCTTTGCTCATGTGTCTTACCGTGTACGCCTAAAACATTTTTTATACTTTATATAGGCCCATACAATTTTTTTTTAATACAGTGAAAATAATATTTTAGAACTATTAAACTATTTCTCTTTTTTGTGAAATCTTGCTCCACTTTTATAGTCACTCTGAAGCCCAGCAAACCTGAATATAATATAATATAATATAATATAATATAATATAATATAATATAATAACCCTACCATACATACAAATCGGAAAGCTGCCCATATTTACACTTGTTTGGGTGTTGCCGAATGCAGATGAATGTGTTGCACACCTGTTTGATCTTGTTGCGAGAGCTGGTGATCCTCTCTGTGATGCTCTGGTAGGTTCGGATGGCTGTGGTGAGCTCTGTGTAGTGCTGAACGATCAACTCATCCACATCATGGTCACACTTCTCATAGGCCTCCTCCAGACGGCCCTTCTCTGTCTCTCGGTCCTGCACATCTTCACTGCTGGACAATGTCCTGACCAAAAGATAGCAAACATATGCTACATCAAACTGTACCAAACTGTTACATTTTATAAAAACACACTACTACTAATAATAATAATAATAATTTCATATACGGTATAATATTATATTATTACACCTTTGCCTGGTTCATCAGGGTAAATAAATAAAAAAAATTGTAAATGAATGAATTAATGAATAAATAAAGTAAGAGTTTATTTATTTAGTTAGTTATTTTTAAATAAATAAAAATATTTTCTTTGTTAATTTTGGGAATGAATGGATGAATAAATGGATAAATTAATCAATAAAAAGAAATTATAGTAAACAAACAATAATTATTTTAAGTAAGGACAATATATATATTTTTTGTATATAAAAATTGTATAACCAAGACAACATAGTTATACCTACTATAATCATGCAATATACCTACTATAATCATGCAATTCAATAATAAAAGACACATGCCCATGACATTTCTCTAGCATCTTGGCTTTGGCTTTCATGCTATTTCTGACACTGGAAAATCGTGATTGACTGCAGTACACTTAAATCTTCCAGAGCCAAGGCTGCACTCAATCTAAACTCATCCTGTCATCATTTTGTTGCAAACTTTCAGATAGATGTAGTTGGATTTTTGGCCATCACAACACAATTTCACAACAATCCATCATCAGACGCCCACCCACTCGAGGAGACCCGCTGGGGCCGGTGCCAATCCAACAATGTCCCAGACCGCAGACTGCCAGACATCACAGCTCAGCTCTCAAAGTCTGTCCTGACTCATTTCCAGTGGTGTGGCTTTAAAATCAGAGTAAAGGAAGGCAGCACAATCTCCCAAAAGAGCTCATTACATTCATTCCAGTCACTGGAGCTCAGAAAGATATAGAAAGAACAACTGAGAGACAGAATCCAGTAGGGAAAATTCCCTTCAAGCTTGCAGTGAAGCACAGATCATGTAGATATAGGTTCGGCCCATAGACTCACTCTTTTTTGACCTCACTTGATTGCCCATAGGACATCATAATGGAAACGGCTGATGGGTAAAAAGAAGATAAAAGAGCTGTGAAGCAGAATGATGGATTTCTGACAGCTTAGCAGCTCAGCTGTTCTCAATGGAAGAAAAAAGGTTTAATTTATGTAAAGACAAGGTTTGATGCTGTGCATGCAATATTTGGGCAAAAAGTCCATTACAACTCAACCACGCATTACCAAAATCATGAATATGTACTGTAACTATATCCATCAATAAGGCAGCAACTTTACCACACTATATTGGGTTCTGGCTGCCATCTATCATCCGTTGAGATGTTTTACACCGCGAGGGCCTCAAATAGCTCTCTTCGGATCCATCATATCTTGGCAACGGCATTTTATATGTACACAACTTCCAGTCTTAATGACAGCCTTTTCCCTGCCCTGGCCTAAAACAAAAACTGTGCAGACAAGAACTAATTTATGAATACATATTATTACGTAATATGCTACTAATTATATTACGTATAATATATTATAATACATTTTTCATATCATGCTGCATTTTCCACTGCAATCTATTAGAATTTCTATTGTTGTACTTTCATGTTATTGCACTTGCATGTTGTGATTGTGTTATTTAAGTTAAGTGTAGACATACAAGACAAATAATCAGACTGCGTTTATGATGTTCAAACAGTGCTGTTTAGGTAAACAGTTCCCTAGGTTCCCTCTGTTTTGAAACTCAGTCCTGTCAAAACATAAGCACTGTCCATTTTTAAACACGTTTTGAAGTATGCCTACAAACTCTGTGTCATCCAAAAGACCTCACAGCAAACTATAAACTTAAGTTGATGCAAAGGGAAGTTTCTTAAGATAGACTTGTCATACAATTCATAAGTGTAATAAAATATGAAAGAATGACAGGATGTATCGTTAGCAAACATGCTAAGCGGTTATCCATTCTGGTCTTTTTCCGTATAAATTCCGGGTGCAAAGATTTAACGCAGGTAACGTCAAGCTGGCCGGCACAGACATTGTAAAAATATCGTGCTCACCTTATTACAGATATAAGTAAACCGGAGGGGTCTTTGCTTTTGGAGACAGCGCTCCTGTATCTGCCTGTGTCAGCTGCCATCTTTCCGCTACTACGCTCAAACACCTCGTGACGGTCTTCAGCCAATGGGAAGCCGCCATCAGCAAAATCAGCTGATTGTAGAGAGATCATAGGGAAATGTAGTTTTTTACTGAAAATACCTACAATAGTCTTTCAGTCTTCTACAAGAAAATATGGGCATGTTATGAACAGTATGCAGTGAGGGACTGTAGTGATGGGAGGTCGCATGCGCACTCATTTCCCACGACTCGGTTCTTTCGAACATTTCGTATCAAAGAAGATAAAAGATTCAGTGATTTTTATGTCGTCACATGTTTCAATAACAGTATAAGAATCGCTTATTGTACAGTTTCCACCTAATAAACTATAAACTTGCAAGGTTGGTTTTTCACCCCATTGCTCATTTTGTCAGCAATTTGAAGAAATAATTACACACTTATTTTGTGTTTTGGATTGCCTGTTGTTTTGTTAAAGGTACTTTTTATTTATTTATTCATTTATTTATTTATTTGTTTGTTTATTTGTTTATTTATTTATTTATACATATTTTATTCATATTACTCGCAAAATTGTATACAATTGACATAAATGTACATTTAAAAATATATACCATCTTTTTTATTTTCAAGAAAGATGTTGGTATATATTTGAATTATTTAAGTAACTGAAAACTATTTTCTATAGTGTAATACTTTTAATTTAATGTATTGTAATCCTCTTAGAATATTCTGTTAATTGTCTTTTTGTAAATGTTGTCTTCTTTGTTGCAATAAAATATTAAACATGTTGCTGTTTTTCATTTTATTTTGCTGTTTATTATTTCTGTTTCAATAATAAACAGTCCCATTTGTCCATTTAAGTTTATGCAGCCATTATTCAACTCATTAAAAAATGCAATACATAAAATCTAATCAAATTTACATATCAGTCAACTCTAAAATTCCTTTACATATTTTACTGAAAATGTTTTTCCTTTTTTAAAAGTACTAAAAGTACTGTTCCAAAAGTAACTTAATGTACATTTAATCTTGAACAAATCATTCAGATCGTTTTTGTGAACTGGTTCAATCAAAAGATCCAACTCAAAAGAATGTGAAAGATTCTTTTACAAATCAGACATACAGTAGCTATGGGAGAAAGACGGAGTGAAAGGTGTAGGTTGTTAATTGCTTTCTGTTTCTAGGATATATTGCTCTAGACCTGCTCCCCTCTATCTCCTGACGATCTCTGCTGTTACAAACCACAGAGGAAAGGGCATTGATTGTGTGGGAAAGGGTCGATCTGGCAGTCTCCTCTTTGACTGATGTGTCCGTGAACAGCAGACATAACATAGAGGCCAATTTTGTGCCCCTTCAAAAAAGGAAACAATCACGGAGACTCTGAGGTTATTTTTCTTATAACTCCTGTGAGCCTATAGTCAGATCCAGAAGTTCTTATCAGCTTCCTCTGAGGCCCATAATTTCTGAGCAATCTACAGTCCTTTGCTGATGACACAGGACTGAGGTTATTTCTCATCACTTGAGCAGGATAAAAAGTTGTCATTATGATGACACCTGAGGGCATGTAGACAAAGACAGCCACCCACTAAAGGACAGAAGACCCACATGCCCACAGCTCCAATTTGACATGAGGACTTCAGGAACATCTTTTCTACAGTTGCCTGTTAAGCACTTTTGGGACAAAAAGAATGGTTACAATACCAGATTAAAAAAAAAGCTGCTAAGAAAGAAAGAAAGAAAGAAAGAAAGAAAGAAAGAAAGAAAATTATATAATAGCATATTATCACATCTTTGCCTGGTTCATCAGCGTAAATAAATAATGTGAATAAATGAATGAATGAATGAATGAAAAACTTATTAAATAATTAAACCAATTATGTATTCATTTATTTATTTAGGTAATTAGTTATTTTTAAATAAATAAAAAGGTTTTTGTGTTCATTTTGGGAATGAATAAATAAATAAATAAATAAATAAATAAACATTAATTATTTAAAAATAATAATATTAATATTTTATTTACCCCAAATGAGTAAGGACAATATTTTTTTTATTGTATATAAAAATTATATAACCAAGACAACATGCAATTCAATAATCAATTCAATAATAATAATACTTTTTCTTTTTTTTTTTGAAAGAAAGAACGTTTCATGAATGCCCATGACATTTTTCTAGCATCTTGGCTTTGGCTTTCTTGCTATTTCTGACACTGGAAAATCGTGATTGACTGCAGTACACTTAAATCTTCCAGAGCCAAGGCTGCACTCAATCTAAACTCATCCTGTCATCATTACCTTGCAAACTTTCAATACATAAGTAGTTGGATTTTTGGCCATCACAACACAATTTCACTACAATCCATCATCAGAAGCCCACCCACTCGAGGAGACCAGCTGGGACCGGTGCCAATCCAACAATGTCCCAGACCGCAGACTGCCAGACATCACATCTCAGCTCTCAAAGTCTGTCCTGACTCATTTCCGCAGCGGTGTGGCTTTAAATCAGAGTAAAGTAAGGCAGCACAATCTCCCAAAAGAGCTCATTACATTCAGTCCAGTCTCTGGAGCTCAGAAAGATATAGAAGAACGTCTGAGAGCCAGTATTCAGTAGGGAAAATCCCTTCAAGCTCGCAGTGAAGCACAGATCATGTAGATCTAGCTTCGGCCCATAGACTCGCTCTTTTTTGACCTCACTCGTTGCCCATAGGACATCATAATGGAAACGGCTGATGGGTAAAAAGGAGATAAAAGAGCCATGAAGCAGAATGACGGATTTCTGACAGCTTATCAGCTCAGCTGTGCTCAATGGAAGAAAATAGGTTTCATCTATGTAAAGTCAAGGTTTGATGCTGTGAATGTACTATTTGGGCAAAAAGTTCATTACAACTCACCCAGGCATTACCAAAAGTAAAGTACTAACTATAACCCTCAATTAGGCAGTTTTTTTTCCACACTATACTGGGTTCTGGCTGCCATCTACCATCACCAAATTAGCCTCAAAATAGTCACATCTTCCACAAGGTCACAAAAGCCTATATGTACAAGAACATCCTGTCATCATGCCAGCTTCCCTGCCTTCTCAATGGCCACAAAAAAATAATTTGAAATAAAATAAAATAAAATCAATTCAATATATTATTTATCATACAGTTAACATCACATACTATATATAGATATACTACATTTTCCACTGCACTCTATACGATTTTCTATCGTTATACTTTCATATTATTGCACTTGCATATTGTGATTGTGTTGTTTAAGTGTTGACAACCAAGACAAATAATCAGACTGCGTTTATGATGTTCAAACAGTGCTGTTTAGGTAAACAGTTCCCTAGGTTCCCTCTGTTTTGAAACTCAGTCCTGTCAAAACATAAGCACTGTCCATTTTTAAACACGTTTTGAAGTATGCCTACAAACTCTGTGTCATCCAAAAGACCTCACAGCAAACTATAAACTTAAGTTGATGCAAAGGGAAGTTTCTTAAGATAGACTTGTCATACAATTCATAAGTGTAATAAAATATGAAAGAATGACAGGATGTATCGTTAGCAAACATGCTAAGCGGTTATCCATTCTGGTCTTTTTCCGTATAAATTCCGGGTGCAAAGATTTAACGCAGGTAACGTCAAGCTGGCCGGCACAGACATTGTAAAAATATCGTGCTCACCTTATTACAGATATAAGTAAACCGGAGGGGTCTTTGCTTTTGGAGACAGCGCTCCTGTATCTGCCTGTGTCAGCTGCCATCTTTCCGCTACTACGCTCAAACACCTCGTGACGGTCTTCAGCCAATGGGAAGCCGCCATCAGCAAAATCAGCTGATTGTAGAGAGATCATAGGGAAATGTAGTTTTTTACTGAAAATACCTACAATAGTCTTTCAGTCTTCTACAAGAAAATATGGGCATGTTATGAACAGTATGCAGTGAGGGACTGTAGTGATGGGAGGTCGCATGCGCACTCATTTCCCACGACTCGGTTCTTTCGAACATTTCGTATCAAAGAAGATAAAAGATTCAGTGATTTTTATGTCGTCACATGTTTCAATAACAGTATAAGAATCGCTTATTGTACAGTTTCCACCTAATAAACTATAAACTTGCAAGGTTGGTTTTTCACCCCATTGCTCATTTTGTCAGCAATTTGAAGAAATAATTACACACTTATTTTGTGTTTTGGATTGCCTGTTGTTTTGTTAAAGGTACTTTTTATTTATTTATTCATTTATTTATTTATTTGTTTGTTTATTTGTTTATTTATTTATTTATACATATTTTATTCATATTACTCGCAAAATTGTATACAATTGACATAAATGTACATTTAAAAATATATACCATCTTTTTTATTTTCAAGAAAGATGTTGGTATATATTTGAATTATTTAAGTAACTGAAAACTATTTTCTATAGTGTAATACTTTTAATTTAATGTATTGTAATCCTCTTAGAATATTCTGTTAATTGTCTTTTTGTAAATGTTGTCTTCTTTGTTGCAATAAAATATTAAACATGTTGCTGTTTTTCATTTTATTTTGCTGTTTATTATTTCTGTTTCAATAATAAACAGTCCCATTTGTCCATTTAAGTTTATGCAGCCATTATTCAACTCATTAAAAAATGCAATACATAAAATCTAATCAAATTTACATATCAGTCAACTCTAAAATTCCTTTACATATTTTACTGAAAATGTTTTTCCTTTTTTAAAAGTACTAAAAGTACTGTTCCAAAAGTAACTTAATGTACATTTAATCTTGAACAAATCATTCAGATCGTTTTTGTGAACTGGTTCAATCAAAAGATCCGACTCAAAGGAATGTGAAAAATTATTTTACACACTAGACATACAGGAAGGGAGAAAGACAGATTGAAAAGTGTAGGTTGTTAATTGCTTTCTGTTTCTAGGATATATTGCTCTAGACCTGCTCCCCTCTATCTCCTGACGATCTCTGCTGTTACAAACCACAGAGGAAAGGGCATTGATTGTGTGGGAAAGGGTCGATCTGGCAGTCTCCTCTTTGACTGATGTGTCCGTGAAC